CTAGTGGACAAAAATAGAAATTGTGGCAAGGTAGGAGTTATCTTCACTTCGGCTAAGACAGTTTTATTTTTCTAACAGGGTGGTTGGCCTTTGGAATGGGTTGCCTTCTGATGTGGAGGCAGTAACTTTAAGTAAGTTTAAGAAAAAGCTTGATAAGTATATGAATGAAAAGGGCTGGGTTTAATTTTTTTTATTTAATCATTTTAATTTAGTTTTGAGGATGGAACAGCTGAGATGGACCAATAGGTCCCATGTTGTCCCAAAATATTATGTAATATACATTATGACTGATTTGTCCCTTAGGAGTCTTCCTGCATTTTCAAAGTTTTTACCTAACCTTTTAATTATTATACTATATGCTTTTTATTTTGGGTTTATTAAATGATTAAGCCCTGTTTTTTTGTCTTCATTGATGAAGTGGATTAAATAATTTATGAAATGAATAGACATGAGTCTAGAATCTTTATGGAGAAGCAAAGCAAAAAAGCACTAAATTTTTTAAAAATTGATTTTATTAGACTAATTCTGATACAGCTGTAGTGTTTTGGCCTTACAATATCTAAATGAACCCGTCTTGATTTTTTAACCTTATTTGTTCTGTCTAAATACTTCAAGCACTATATTGCAATCTGCCACTAAACTGAAGAATTGTTTTTCATATATTGGCTTTGTTTTAGAGTCATTTTAAGGCTTTTTATTAAGCATTCTTCATTCATTATGATTATCATCTAGTTTGTATCTTCCTTATGTTCAGTTATGGTTTTTTAGATTGTAGTGATTTTTGTAAGATGTAGTAGCTCAGTTTTTCAGGATGTTTTTACATTAGCTGTTGAAGATGTTACTAGTTTTTCATAAATAATAAAAATATGAATAACTGGACTTTAATGTAGCAGCAATATACATGTTTTTGTTTATTAATTAAAAAAAATTGTAATTTTAAATATTTCAAATCCTTTTCACACTTCAAACTAACATTAGCAGTAAAACAGGTTGTGAATTTCATATTAAGTGATAAAGTGCTTTTAATTAGAAAGTTTTAGCTATAATGATTACGTACACATAGTTACAAACTTTATAAAATGTCATTGTGGTCTTTTTCATTCAAAATTGACTGATCTATTAGATATTGAACCATGGTATTAGTACATTATTTATAGTAACTAAAAATTATGAACCAGAAAGACAAACTGCAACAAAGTGTAGCTTATATTTATATGAAGTGAATCATATTAACAAAAGAGTTGAAAGGAAATTGGAATGCTCAAAACATCATTGGTAAAATTTTAATTTTGGAGATATCTTTTGACATAGCTTCTCAACATTTTATTTATGATAGCTTAACTTCATTATATACTTCTAAGAGTGAGGAGTTATGTTTAAAAGTTGTCGGCACATTCTATAACTTTTTTTTTATGCACATTCATTTTAGATTTTTTTCACTTTTAGTAAATTTATAAAGCTCTACCTTATTTTTCTTTGTATCATGTACATATTATTCAAAATTATTTCAAAAAGAACATGGAACAAAACAAGTTGATTCATGATTACTTAAAAATAATAATGAAGAATTTCCCTAAAAATAGTCATCTATCACATATGCTTTTAAATATTGATACTGATTAAAAAATTTGCAAATTTAAATTTCATTTTTCAACAAATATTATGATAGAAAATTAATGAAAAATTTTTAAACTTTGTTTTTTTTTCATCAGAGAATGGCAATAATAGTTTATAAGTAGTAAGTATAATTTTTATTTTATAAATTATTTATAATATCCACCTGGTGCTTTCTTCCAGGGATGTCTGGAACATGTTCTTCCTTAGTGAATTCTCAGGTATAAATTTCTTTCATTTGCCACAAAAAATAAAAAAAATGTAAGATTTCTTTTTTTATACTAATCATTGAAGCTAAAAATGTTTTCTAAAAGATAAATTACATTTACTAATAAGTACTCAAATATGGTCCATGTGAACCCCAACAAAATAATAATGGGTCCCAATCTGGTATGTCTACAAATATATTTTTTTACCTTAGTGACTTTACTTGAAAAAGAATAAGGAATTATTTTCTAGTAATAAATATTTTTTAATAATTGTGCTTACCTATTTGCAATAGTTTGAATGAGGTCTGGACCCTACATGAGTACTTAAGGGTCAAATTAAAAGCCAACTTATTTACTCCAGATTGTGTTAGACTGTTATAAAGTTTGTGATCTGCTACCAGTTTGCTGTATTCAGTAGTCAGAAGAGCTAAATGTAGAAGTAGAGAACATGGTTTAAAAACTTTGTAAGCCTGTTCTGTTTGGAGTTAAGGAAACAGAAATTTTCCCTTGATGTTTTTTGTTTGAAGTCATTTTACTGAAATTTGTGAAACTTTCTAAATATGCATTATTGGTTTTATATGAATGATAACCTACTAACAGAAGTGTCATATAAATGATTAATTGTCCCAATCTAATATCTTTATTTATGTGAATATGTTAAAAATGATGTTAATAAATTACTGAAAAAAAGCAACCGAAAACCTAATGTTTAAATTGGGTGGGAGTTGAATCCATGTTATTCTAACAAATACATTATTTAACAAAAGGAATTTTAAAGTACTTTCAGACACATTCTTAATTTTGTAATTTATTTCATTGTTTGTTCATGTAAAAGAAAC